TTTTGTGCTATAATACAAATTCATTTTTCCTGCTTTTGAAGTTTCATGTTAAAAGCTGACATGATTATTATGTATGAGGGTGAATAAATACACAGTATTTAAATTTAAAAAACTATAGTAAAATTTTCAAAAGTATTTTTGTATTTATATTATTTTACGAAGTATAGCAATTAAATCATAATTATTATAAATTAAAACTGTTTTTAGATTCCAATTTCTAAGTGGATAAAGTATATTTTAGAAAAAAAGAAGAAAATTCCCATATTTTTCAAAATAACTATAAGTTATAAACAATTAAGTAAGGAAAACAGGAACTTTTTGCAAACTAGTTTTAAATAAAATCGATTTTATTTCGTTAACGTAACTCAAAAATAAATGATTATAAATACTCGAAAACTAAAATCTCGTTAAATATTTATATTAACATTTTCAAAATATTTGATATTTTTGATTTTTTTAATTTTTTATAAATAACAATAAAGAATGTTAACTAAGTCGAAGAGTATGAAAATTTGATACGAGGTTCCTCATAACTTACTTTAATAGCTATTTAAAAATATTAAAGATATTAAAGGCATATTTTTTACAAACAATTAAATATCAAATTTTGACAAAATTATAGCTTAAACACAAACATTTGCAATTTTTTAAGCAATTAAAAATTCATAAAATTTTATATTTTTATAGTTAAGGTTTAAAAATGTAATATAAAAATCACCATTTTGTTGATTCATACTGAAACCAATAAATCTAAGAAATAATATAAGCTCAATTTTTTTATAGACATTTAAAAATAAAATTTGGATAAAATATGGTATTTAAACGAAGATCTATGACTAAAGTTATTTTGTTGTTATTTAACAACTAATAGCAATTAGCTAATATATTTATAAAATAATAGGTTTACAGAGTTTCTCTTTTCTGAATCGTTTTCCATATGCAATGATTTATCATTGAATTAAAATATAACACATCTATATACTTATATATACGTATATATTATGTACGATTTGGAACATCTCCTCGGATCACCAATTATATGCATCATACTGATTTAGTCAAGATTATATTTATACGTATAACGCTAAACTCATTTATTTTTAGAGTATAATATGGGCAATCCTATTTTTTGTGAGTATAGAACGATTTTTTATGTTTTATATTTCCGTTTAGTTTTGACAAATGATCGTTAACACGGGATATTAAACCTAACAGCCAACATAATGTTAAAAATCTCTATAGTTTGAAAAATGAAACTACAATCGAATAGGTACAGTATTTTAAGTATTTGCCGAAATGACTAATCCGTTACCAGTAAAAACTGAAGGGTCATACTCGTTGCTTATTGCCTAGCCTTACAGTACAGCTCATCAGACCTTTCAACCATTGTGGAAGTAGTACCTATATAATATAAATTATAATACATATATAGGGAAGAACTTGTTTCCCACAATACATTGCCGTTTTTAGATTACGTTTCATTAACAAGTATTGTAGTGTGGCCCCTTCTAACGCACCCAAAAGTAAGCGTAAATAACCCTTTTTTATTAACACTTCTGAAAATTATCATAAGAATCAATATTTCGACTACATTATTCGGTTACTATGTTTAACGTTTAGGATAGGTATTAGGTAGGTTTTGGATACCTAGTACAGTATAAGATTGAAATAAAATAACTAGAATCTGAGTACTTCATTTATATAAATAAAATACATACAAATTATAAAAATATCAAAATGCTACTAAAGTTATTTAGTATAATTATAAATATAATTATGGTTATAATATAAATTTATATTACGTACACATTGTAAAATTCAAACAAGTAAACGTAATAATCTAACCAGTTTGTTACAATCAAATATTTTATTATCAACGTTATCTATGTTCAGATATTATAGACAGTAAACCAACATCATGACACAACATAAGACGTTCAATAACATACTACAATTAATAATTGACAAAAATTCAATAATATTTTATAACAAAATATAGTTATAAGTTATAAACTTATAAGAGTTGTTTTGACGAATTAGTAGTTGCCAGTTTGGCACAAATAAAATGGTTGAGTAATCAAGTAGTAAAACATCTGTCTAAAAGATAGATGATTTATATCTACTAAGAATTGGAAAATGTTTAAATCATTTCTTCTGAAAACCTAAACTAAACAGTACAATATCCTAAATAATATGGGCATTATTCAGTTTAAACTCTAAATTAGTATTTCCGTTGTTCATCGTAACTCGTCAACCTTATCGTTGATGTTTTATTAATACACATATTGTGCCCAATGATTCACCGTTATTTGTCCTGTTATTTGTGATTAAGTAATATCTTTGCCACTCTTTTCAAGCACCAAAAACATCTATTTAATCTAAGTTAGCTTTTACATAGTTAACAATATTTAACTTTATATAAAAAAATGTACATTTAAAACAAATATACAGAGTAATTCACTAAGTTATCAAATATACTTTTTCCCTTTTCTTTTTTAATAATGCGGTTTTTCTGCTGTAAATTATTTAGTGAATATTTTTTTTTAAATGGGATTAGAACAATTGAGGGCTATGATAATTTTACAATTTCAGTAATTTATATTAATCTATAAATATTTATAATTTATACCAACGGTCCGAATATTAAAAATATTGAATTCGATGGACATATATCTTATACTATTGTGAAACCATTTTTAAGGACTATTATTCTTAATATAAATATAATATATTAATAACTAAAAAATAAAGGCTCTTATAGGAAAAACAAAAGTTTATATAACCATATGGAACTCCTTAAATACCTAGTATAAAATATCTAAAAATATAATCTTTAATATAATGGGGATGAGCATGTTTGATGAATCATACTGCATCCATATCAACCTGCGAAAAGTAACAGAAATAATACCATTTTGAGTGGATATAAAAAATTATATTTAACTAAAAAATTTCAATAGATAAAAATAAAATCAAAGAGCGCTAAACACAAACGTTGTATTGTAACATGTCGGTGTATCAATTATCACAATATTACATTAATGGTTGAATTATTATTCAATGACAAAAGATGGATGTTATTTTAACAATATCATTCACATTATTATTATTAATATTTATATCATCTATATGACTATATACTACGATACACATTGTACTTTCTTGGATTTTTTGAATTCATAATAAATTAATCATTACCAAATAATGTAAGATTTTTATAATTTAGTCGTTGACATACTGTATCCAGTGTTAAATTTCTATAATCTGTATCTAGTGTATCTATTAATAAAATTTGTATACAAATAAAATCCTTTTTAAGCTTATCAAAATTATAATACACTTATTAAACTCAATAATAATAATAATAAAAAAACATTAAAGCAGTATGTTTTTTACAGACCTTTTAAGGAACATATATACTCGTAGTTTTAGTTTTAAAACACGTACATGTCATTTCTATGACTCATGAGTCATTTGGTAATTCACTTGGGATATCTACAACCAATAAACACTGGTACAAATACTACTAATATTGATGTTTATCTTAACAAATACATCACACTTTGTTCAAATGAATACCAAATAAAATTCAATTTTACAAGTTAACGAGTCTTTTATTGAAATTTTCTTATTACACCAAATCATTAATAGAATATTCAACAAAACAATATTATATACAATAAAATTTCGTCGATGATAGATTATTTACTTAGTAAGTTTAAACATTCTAAAAATAAATTGACTAAATACCATGAATGTACCATAAACACAAGAAAATCTAGTATCTACTCACTAAAATATACCTTTAGACCGAAAAATAGAATAGTATAAAATGTACTATTAATTTATTTGGTTTTAACGTCTATAATAAATATTAAATAATAATTATTATATATGATATAATAGTTCTACGTATTTTCGGATGACAGATATTGCTACATTATTAGTATAGTACAGATTTTAAAAATCACAAATAATAATGACAGACTAAAATGAATTTTGACAGCATTGTATCTAAAATACCTTATACTAAGTATATTTAAAGAAATGTTAATTATTAAATAATACTTTGGATGTTGTTATTTATCATTATCGCATAGTCAATGAAATTTGTCGTATAACGTTATCAGTATTATCACTAGCCAGGCGTGCATTTCAATATTTTACGCAGCAAATCATAAAATATAACAAACGGTATCATGATACGATTGTATTGTTATCAGACATCAATAAGTTTGCATTAAATATTTAAATCTACTTATATTAACGTATAATAGGTGTATAAAATATCATAGGCTTTACAAAAGATCCAAATAGTGTTAAATGTTAGTAAATAATAAGTAATAATTAATGACGAGCGATTGGTGACATCGGTAACCAGTATGTTGAAAAATTTCGTGGACAAACGGATAGTGATATATTTATATTTGTTTTGGCGGGAAACCCGGTCCGCGGAAACCGGCAGATAAAAAAAATAAAAAAAAAACGTTATACAATATTTAATTTTATTACCCATAGACTCATACTCAAATACCTAAAAGTAAAATATACAAGAAAGTATTCAACGAAAACCAGTATAGATTTCTCTTTAAAAAGTAAAATAGTTTGTTTTATAAGAATCGATTCTCAACCGATTTAATTTTTTTAGACCACGATAACAATGTGATCGAGGAACACGCATATCACGGTTTATCGCCGACCCAAAACTGATCTTTCCTTTTTTTTTTTCACAAGTTAATTTCGTTATCATAAATAACAATTTACGGAAGAAGTAAGCCGATCTATCCGCCGAGTCCCAACTAAACCTACCCCGTGTGTCAACATTAACCGGAACCGACAAATCGGCATCACTTTTGGTGCACCGGATTGTCCTAGCCAATTCGTATCGTGAACGTTCAATCACGAAAGAATAATAATATGAAAACCGTTTATATCTTACAGTAGTGTAACTATTATAATAATATCATAGTGTTATTAATTATTATTGCATAGGTACTCACCAAACCGGTAGTCATTCCACAGTCACTTGGTGTTCAGCGCCGACGGCATAACGACGTAGACGGACGTTTTACCGATCGCGATCGCACGACGATCGATGTCAACGATTTTTATAACAATATAATATTGTGTCCGCAAGCGTTTTCACGAACACCGAGGGACGGGCGAACGGGACCGGCGGCTAACGGCTGCACACTGCGGTCGGTGACTGTTTTGCTGCTGTGGCGGCGGCGGCGACGGCACCTCCACGCGCAGTACGGCGGTCGCTGGTTCGGACGCGGTCGTGCTGTATGCGCGACGGCCGGTTCGACGACAAGAATAATAATAATAATAATAATAATATTTCAGTTGTTCTACGGCAGACGACGACGACTACGTCACGACCACCAAACCAACAGCTGCTCGCTGCTGCTGCTGCCGCCGCCGATGCTTCTCCGCCGCCGTCGTCACCGAAACACTATTGTGTCGGGGCGCACGCGCCATATTATTATTATTATTATTATTATTCTTTTATATTATTATTATTAAATGTTATACACACGACGACTGGGTGTGCTCGCCGTTTGGGTGTGTTTGTGTGCGCGGGCGCGTGTATGTGTGCGTCGGGTATAATATATATATATACCTGATAGATGGGGAGACACGTACGTCGTACGTTTCAGGGGTAGATTCGCCGAGGCTGGGCAAGGGACCGTTTACACCGGAACAGCTGCAAAAAAAAAAAAAAAATAAATAAATAAAAGTATAGTACAATCATTGCATTTTTGACGTTGGAACGGATTATATCTATAAATCTATAATGTATCACGAACAAAATAATTGTGTATAGATTTGTTACACGCAGTTATAAATAATGGCATGAGATAAATAATAAATAAATATAAGTATATCTGTTAATTGTGGGTTTTGTTTTTCGTAATTATGTTAATAATCTAACGTAATTATTAGAGTAAAGTAAATGTATATAAAAAAATTACAGTAAACTCAGCGCGTTTATAAAATCAACTAATTCAAACCTAAACCAAATTGTTAATGTTTGTAATATTAAATTGAGTTTTTATTGATATAGCTGAGTAATGAGTAGATACACTAGATAATTGAATCACCTTTTCGTTTCTTAAGTTTGAACTATCAAAATAAAATCGTATTGTCTAAACGGAATTATGTACCTATTTATAGGCTAAAATCGTAATTTATAAAAAGGAAAATAAATTATATGCCAAGTGCAATGTTTATTGCACTTAACTTTGTTTATTATAGGTACTGATAAGTGATAGACGTGATAGTATCTTTTATTTATAATAAATAGTTATACGTAAAAGTACCCATAATAGTAAAATATATTCCAAAACATGCATTATGGATCAACCGGTCAATCAAAATGACCTGTACCAAAATAGAACTCACTGTATACGTAAGTCCTGCACAAAATATATTATCGTTGATATTGTCTTCGTCTTTTCGAATAATTTTTTGTCGCTTAACTTGGTATATAATATTATGTAATAATATAATACGATATTATTATATTAGTATACATATTATGTAGATATAGTTCACTGCTCGCTACGCATTCGTTATATCGTTACATTAACATATGTCGACGGTACCTCTGTTGTTAATGGATATTAAATGTCCGTGCCGAGTATTAACGCGTGCGCGTGTACCACATGTGGAAAGGATTGATAGAAATCATATTTCATCGTCAGGCATGTGGGTGCGGAGGCGATCGCTGTTGGCATCCAGTGAACAGTGAGACTCCACACGAGACATCAGGTTACGTAGTCATCTTATTATTATTCGGGGTGCTGGAGGTGTTCGGTAGATTTTATTCCAGTGCTGACTGATCGAGACTAAGTATAATGTACATATGGTGCCCGGTATTGTTTTTTTCAGCAATTAACACTTTTTATCTTGAAAATATTTTATCTAACTATTATAAAAAAATCAATATTTTTACTACTTTTTTTTTTTTTTAACAATAATCGTATTTATAGTTTTTGTTTTGACTTACATCATAAGTACATTATTCATTTTATTATCTGAAGGTAAATATTTTTATGAGCATATTAATTAAAATCGAATTTTTGACAAATTTTTAATTAGATATATCAGTAAAATTAACTATATAAAGTTTAAGTAAGTAGAGTACAGTGACACATGGGTATTCTGAAAATATCGATCCATTGATTGATTTGTCAAAACTTATATGCTTATATTAATTTGACTAACTTCTTAAATAGTCTTTTCAAAATTGTTAAGTATTAAAATATTCAAATAAATAAAAAAATTATATTGATGAAAAATAGTAAACAAATAGTGTACTCTATTATTTTTTAAAAATATAATTTTGTTATGATTTCAATTACAAGGAATGGTGACTATGAGAAAAAATAACGCTTAAATATATAGTAATGTAACCACGTCATTTTTTTTTTTTTTTTTTTGAAGCCTACAAAAGTTGAGTACACTTACTTTCTGGACGTGCCTCGTATATTATTTATATATATATAAATATTATTTGAAAATTGAAACGTTAAAATTGCTAGAGATAATGCTATTGTTTACTGTCAAAAGAATCACCCGTGTTGCCATATGCATAGATTGTAAAATTAGAAAATACGTAGGACTCTCACTACTGCCATAATTGGCCCGAATAAGAATTTGATTTTTCGGCAACATTTTGACACAGCCAAAAACTTGAAGATGACTAAATGGTCGAGTTTTGAAGAAGCTATAACCAAAATTTAAATTTGTCTGTATACAGTATATCGATTTGAAAATGATTGAACTTGTAAATTACAAATACTTACCAATAACCAATAAAATCTATTATTGTGTTAATATTTTTGAATTTGTAATCTAGGTGATTTACTTCGCGAATCTAAATTTTTAATAACGATTGTTCATCTCACGGGCTCGTGTTCATAAAAGTATTTTTTTAATATATTTTAATTTAAAGTAATATATGTATGTACTTACTACTTATGGTCAAAGTTTAAATATATATTCCAGAATAATAAAATCTTATATAATTTAATATGCTTCTAAATAACACTCAATCGTCGAAACTGTAATTTATTTTCATAGAGGTAAAAACTGAAGTATATTATTTTACGTACATTATTATGCAATTGTTTGAAATCTATATGATTGTATAATACCCATAATAGTATTAAAAGTTATATTTATACATTCTTTTTTCAAAAAAAAAAAAAATTGGGTAATAATGAGCCCCCTGGCCTAATGCCCAACATGCATTTGCATACATGTATAACACAATACTATTTTTTGTGCTTTATTAAATTGTGTAATTCATAATATATTGTTATAACTTATAGATACTATATTTTATTGTTTAAACTTTAAATTATTGTCGTTAGTTCTAATTCAAATTTTCTAAAACTATTCAAATCAAATATCAGTGTTAAAATATAAATCAACAAAATAAGTAAATAATTTATAAGCTCTGTAAAATAAACTAAAAACGATTTAATTTTATTTTCCATCATACATACACGTTTTCACAAAAGTTCCGCTTATTTTTCTTATATATAAAACTATTCAATTATAATATTAAAATATATTTCAATATATTTTACAACATTTGTTATTATTCCTTACATAAACCCTCCCAAAAATTAAATATATAAAGTTATTAATAACTCGTTTTTTTCTAATATTTTTTATTTATACCAATGATGGGTTGATAAATTATTATCTTCTAACTAATGAATTTAGGTTAAAATATATTCTGTTTTTACACTTAAACTGTAATCTTACTTTATTGCTATCATTTTGTATTTACATTCAACTAAATAAATATTCCTTTCATAAATAAATAATAGCTTAGAAATTCAATCTACATTTTATACTTAGATAGTTGATAGCTATCAACCCAAATAAATAATATTTGGAGTTTGTATTTAATAATTATTGCAGAATTATATAACAATAACTCCGTTTGACGATATATAGTTTATTATCGATGTAAATATCGTAGTGCTGTTCTATCGTATAATACTGTGTAATATTTGTTCATACTTCATTCAGAATCAAAATATATAATAAAAAAATTCTTCTTCAAATATATTAGGTACATTGCAATCAATGAAAGTACTCTTGAAGTTTCTCAATGCTCAAACGCTTTTAAATAAAAATAATATAATAAAAAAAAAAATGTCAATAGATATATTACAGGTATTAAAAGTTTTATGCTTAAAAAGTATTTAGCAGAATAATCCATAGATAATCTACTAAATAAATTAATAAGACTATGTGTGTTAATATTTAATAATAATATATTAATAATTTATTACTCTGTATTATTCAAATTGTACATTATAAAAAAGGTGAATATTTACTATACTACTATTTTACTGTACTTAATATTTTGATGGTATATACGTATAGTAGCCAAAAAAATTAATACATTCTTCTATTTTGTTGGTTCATAAACTATATTTTTTTTTATTAATTTTGTTTCAATTATAGGATTATTCAAGTATAAGCGTATGAAATAAATCAATCATAAATAAATATTTGAATTTTCGCAAGTAATACCATATATTAATTATATTATTTAAACTAAAATAAAAGATGTATTTTTATATTTATCTAATTTTATGTAGGTATATTAAAGTTTAATTATTTTAAGAAAATACATCATTAGGGTGGGAAGAAAATGTTTTTATAAATAATAATTTGAATTCAGATTGAAATGTCTTAAAGTAGGTAACTACTCAATGTAAGGGTAAATACAATTTTGAAGAAATTTAGTCACAACACTTTCATAGTTTTTTAGTATAGCTATATCACATATTATACTTTATAGTTTAGTTCTTTAATGTTATTAAAAAAATACGGTAGGAAACCGACAAATTTTAATACATTTAATAATTGTATAGTTGGTATATGGCAGTATTACGTGTAATGTGTGCCCACAAAACGAATATTTAATAAGGTAGGTAACTGTCAAAAACAAAGGGTGATTATTAGCAGCGTGAGGTGTACCGGTCTCCTCAACAAATATATACGTTTACACCGGATATACGGTGTACGGTGTTGGATTATTGTATTGTATACTTTAAACTATGCTTTCTACTTACATATCTCGTCGATAATATCATTAATTCCGTTGCTGCCGAGCGCACTTCGCACAACAATAAAAATTTACAATCACTATCACTGAACCTAAGCTACGTAATGATAACAAGATTTGCGAAAAACCGGAAGTCTGAATTCTCATACACTGTAGAGATGACTGAAAGCGCAAGTGGACCAGACCAGTGGTGGCGCGTGCGTCGCTTCTCAAATCGATCGATAATACGAACCACCTCAACCCCATTGGCCATTTTATAACGGCGGTAATTTTGAAAAGATTTGGTAAGCAACACGAATTCAACAATGATAATTTTCTAAAACTAAAAGTTTTGTAAAAATAAAATTGTAGTCCTGTATGTGATAAAATTTTTATCCGTTATCCATAAATTTAAATTAAATTATAAATCTTTTTATAAAATGTTGAATTTATATCGCATCAATACATGTAATCTATATATCACTTGTTATATAAAAAATTTGAACTTGATATATTCAAATATCCTTTCAAATTGCTGAGGCGACTTTTGTGACATTCCTCATATTTTTATTAATTTAATGTTCCGCTATATGTCAGATAAATCCAGAACTTTATACTTAAAAAATTCTTCTATTCCTTTTGTTTTATTTCCAAGTCTATTTCTTTAACTTATCATTAAAGTTTAAAATTATTTTTAATTTTATTTTTTACTTAAACACTATTTAGCATGTTTATTAATTTATTATTAAATTTTTAATAGTTGATGTATAAAAATAATACTGTATTTTAACATTTTAATGTATATATTTATGTATAACATCTTATTTATTTGTATAAAAGAATAAAAAGTATAGTCTACCCAATAATATTAAAATTATAATTTTTAGTAGATTTTAAGGCGATGCACTAACGCATTAGTCATTAGGCAGTTAATAAAAATTAAAAATTTAAATAGTTCCTAGAAATGACGTGTAGTATTCTGCACATGTATTTCTTATATCATTGTATAAAAACAAGTAAATATTTTAATAATAAACTAAGCTCAATAATTATAAAATATGTTTTAAAAAATATTTATTTTATCAATTAGGTTAAATTATTAAGCAATACACATATATTGTTATTAATTATTATCTCTTTGCATTTTATTAAAAAAAAAAACTTGCAATTCACATTTTTCTTCAGTGATATATTTAAATGTGTCTGTTTCTGAACACTGAGCAGGCATTTATTTTTGGTTACAAAATATCTATTAAACGAAGGGTGACACGTGCAACCCATACTTATTATACTACCACATTTTAAAGTTGCAGAAATAGATTTTGACTGTTTATATTAGGTACTTAGTTAATAATAAATAATAATACTATATTCTGGTATAATATTAAGTATTATGTTAAAATTAATTTTTTTAGACATATTTTATGTTTATATTGTGTGATCCATTACAGGGCTACTTAATTAACACAGTGAACATTTCCAAAAATTTGAAACTTTATTTTCAGAAATCAGTAATATTTAGCGTAGCAATTATATAAGAGTAGATCGTTCATTTTTAATTTGTACTTTTAATTTGTTTTTTATATAATTATTATAAGTTTTAAATTTATTGTGATCTAATTTTCAATTTTTGCTTTTTATTATTTCTATGTGCTTTGCATATTTAAATTTAAATACGAATTTAATTATATTTTCTAATATTATAATTAATTTACTTTAAAAATATTTACAATTTACTCATAAGTTATCATAGATATTTTTATGTATACATTATGTTTCTAATCGAACCTTGAAATATATTCCAAAATTTAATTAAGTAAATTTATTACTACCTAAGTTTCTTACGAAATTTTTAAGCTGAATTATTTTATCGTATATTATCAATTATTATTTACATAACATTTATGATTTATGTATAGGTACATATGCTACATATTATTGTCTTTAATTTAAATATACGACTTATTTTAAAATTTATAAACTAAAAATCAGTGACTCGTAGCTAGGATTTTTTTTTGGGAAAGCGGAGCTGCAGCCCCCTCAGCCCCCTGGTTACGCTTCTGCTAAAAATTATATTAAATATATTGTAATTTATTAATAGGTAACCATAATGTTGATTTACTATAGATTATTTTCAATACAAATATAATGTAATCGTAATGACTAATGACTAATGAATAATAATGACATTTATTTTTACTGATTTTATAGACTATAAATATTTATCTATTAATTGAAGTCTGACAATAATCAAACACAATAAATTAAAGTTTATTTTCGTTTAAGTTCAATAAAAAATAATAAAAATCGTTCATATAGTACACTAATAATAATTAATAAGTGTAATTATTGGATTTCATTATAATACTTAAATAATAATAAATCAATAGTTTTTAATTTATAATAGGTTTAAGTTGGTATTCAAGTATAATATCCTATAAAAAAGACCTCCGGATTAGAACTACTATATTATTTTAGTTATTTTAATTTAAACAAATCATTGAGACAGAATCATAAAATTTTTATATACCAGTAGTCTATAAATAACTAGATGGTTTCACATAATATATTTGTATTTTACAGATACTTACATTTTTTTTTAATGAATTTAATCCTTTCTTCGGTGAACTACCTACTTTTTACCATAACTCATCCGCATCAGGGTATAAAGTGAATTATTATAAAAATATTTTAAAAAGTTTGCAAAGTAATAACGTACATTTACGTTTTGTGTGATGTGAAAAAAATATAGAAAATATTGATACTTAACAGATGCGGCAACGCATATTTCATTAAATGTTCAACATCTATAAATATCAATGTTCAATTACTAAAATTAGACAATCCAAAAATTACGTGAGTACACGTTACTGCTCTGTACGGAGGTATATGGAGTAACCCCAATACGCTACTGGTATCCATGGCTATAGCTTATGACAAATTAATGATACGTTGATACACGGCCGTATCTTTGGTATAAATAAATTATATAAAAATTTTAAATAATATGTATATCAAGTATCATATCACAGTTGTAGATAAATATAATACATCAATAATCTTACAATTACAATATCTCGATAGTCTATTGTATGTTGTCTTATCCTTTTAAAAAGGAAAATATTTCTCTTGATGTCATTAAAAGTTGTTTGGTGTTATTTCCTTCTGATACTGAAGAAGCAAAATGCAAAGACATAGATGCTGTTCAAGCAGAGATGGAAATATTATTTGGGATGTGCAATGATAGTAATTCAAATACATTTGATAGTCTTATGATTAAATCAAAAGAAATGAAACATATTTTACCATAGGCTAATAAAATCTGTAAATTAGCCTTGACATCACTGATAAGTGTCGCAAAAAAATGAAAGATTATTTATAAAAAATTTTCTATTTGATATTTAAAAGAATCAAGATAGCGATTTTTTAAATACGATTTTTAGAAAATTTTTGGTGTCAAAAACTTTTACTAAGGTTAAGTCAATAATTTTTAAATAATTTATAAAGTTCGCTTAAATTTTAATTTATTTCTTGTTTATCGGTGTTACAACGATTATCCAGAAGGCAGAAAATCTTTTTGAAATTATATAAAATTGCGCAAACTTCAAAAAATCGTAAAAAATAAACGCTTAAATAGTTTTTATTTTTTTTTGCTAATATTTTTTAAAAATCATATCAACCAAATAACTATTTTAATTTTTTGAAGTTTTTACAGTGTTGTTTATATAACTTTCCAGCCAATTAATTAACATTATATATGTTTAAAATTGAATGATATAAAATGAAATGGTATGCAAAATACGTTTATTTTAATAAGTTTATCATAACAACATTTAAAATAAAAGTACATATTTATGTAATTTGTATTATAAACCGTGAAAATTGTTTTCTATGATATTATGCTTAATTTATTGTACCAAAAACTTTTTATGATAGTAAATTATAATAAAATGGCCAGAAGATCCATCGCTAAAAATTTAATTTTGGAATTTATATGTTATTTTTAATATGACCACAATACCGCACTTTAAAGATATAGTAAAGATATTACAACTTTAAAATTTATACGATTGAAGTAAAATTAAATATCATTGGCTTTGAATCTCAATCCAACCCCGGTTATCAGTACGTTCTTATACAATTTATTTTTGGTATTTTTTTTTTCATCCAAACGTTTTCATTTAAGCTCGTCTTCTTATTATCTACGATGCTGTGTATATACAATACACGTCACAATATCATTATATTGTATATACTATTTCATAGAAGTTGATCACCCGATTCCGTGATGCAAAAAGGGCCCTAATTTTATTAATAAAAAAACTCAAGTTATACATCCACTGCTTCAACTAGCAAGAATCAAAACTGGCGCATCTCGTGCAACTCTTAAGTATAAGGCGTTGGAAAACATAAAATGATTGGTCAAACGTCGGCCAATACTAAAAGCGGACGACGATAAAAAGTGCTTTTCCGTGAAACCATTGTCACTTATTTACAAGCCATCGCTTCATATTCAACAACTCTCCAAGCCCCGGATCCGCAAGATGAAGACGTGATCATCACTTCAATTGTCATTATTATTATTAGTAGCACACTAGCACATAATAATATGGTTCCCAGGTGGTAGGGGGTTTTTCACGCATGTAGTGGATTATCAAGTGGTGGGCGAGGTGAGGGGGTATAGATGTGTATTGTGATTTATGATTACAATACTAATAGCTATAATTATTAATTATTGTATAATTATTAGTGGTTTGATTTTTCTTGTCAATATTTATATTTTTAGCGTTAATTCTACTCATCGAAATTTTATTCGGAGATGGGCCCTTGGAGAAAAACTTTTTTGTTGAGTCATAAAGATTATTAAATCCTTCCATCGCAGCCATCCAGTTATTTTTTTCCTGTAACGATATGTTTGAATGTTACAAATATTGATAAGTTTCTGCTATATTTTTTGATATGATATGTATATCCTTAATTAATGATTTCATGATTTCTTTTTGTTTATTTTTGGTTTGTATTGAAAAAAAAAAAAATTAAATTAATAAATTATTAATTTATTATGAATTCTAATGTTTTATTTTTTTTCTTCAAATATTTTTTTGAGGCGTACAGTTCGTATATGAAACTATATACACATTGCGATTTTCCGATCTCAAACATTTTTTTTTATGTTATGATGTA